GGAGGAGGAGGAGGAGGATAATGTTTTCTCAAGCGCTGCTGAAATATCTGGTATTTCGTGACACGGCAAACTGTGGACTTGCCCCAGACTCTCCGAACTGGCTGTGCGGCCTCGGTGGCAGGTGGCGGCTGGGTGGGGGGGCCACGGGACCTCCTGCACGCAGCCGGCCCCGGCCCCGCCATTGGGCGCTGTCCTCGATGCTCGCCGAGCGCGTTCCACTACTCGCAAAGTGCAGTACTCGCAAGCGTCCGAAAATCCAGACGTCTGCCTTTTTGTAATGTATCGTGCATTCTTCGCGGCGGATCCAGGCCATCTGCGAGTAGCGACTTTGCGAGTAGTGGAACGCGCTTGTCTAGATGCCCCTTGGCGCCTCGAGCGCCGGGAGGCGCCAGAGCAGAGCCCATGGGGGCAGCGGCGAGGGCTGGGTGGGGCCTGCGGGGGCAGGCACCGACCAGCAAGCGCCCCGTCCTCGCCGACGGGGGCCCGGTGGCCCACAGCGCGCAGGGCCGTGTGGTTCCCCGCCTTCGTGGGCTTTGCCCCCTCCTCCTCCTCCCTCCTCCTCCTCCTCCTCCTCCTCCTCCTTTTAACGGCAGTCGCAGTGTCTTGTTGCATCAGGTTGGCAGTGCAGATCCCCCCGCCATCATGTCATTTGAAGAGTTCCAGCAGCGTAGTGAGCAGGTGCGCAGAATAGAAGTCAATGTAGAGACAGTGCTGAATCAGAGCAATCGTGCCGCTAGTAGATATCTCCACCCCAATCCCATGCCGCCAGCAGAGTGACTCTGGCATTGGGGTCGCCTGTAGACACAGAGCAACGGGAATCAAAATCTGGCGGGGCATTTCTTTACCAGTCCGCTGCGGGCCGCGGCAGTGCGGGCCGCAGCAGTGCGGGCCGGCCAGGCTCTAGAAGTCAATGTAGAGACAGTGCCGAATCAGAGCAATCGTGCCGCTAGTAGATATCTCCACCCCAATCCCATGCCGCCAGCAGAGTGACTCTGGCATTGGGGTCGCCTGTAGACACAGAGCAACGGGAATCAAAATCTGGCGGGGCATTTCTTTACCAGTCCGCTGCGGGCCGCGGCAGTGCGGGCCGCGGCAGTGCGGGCCGCCCAGGCTCGGGGTTTTCCATATTGCAAGAGAGAAGTGAGAAGCGTTGCGACCTTGCTCACTTGTCCTCCCTCCTTCCCCTGCTCTGTCCGCCCGTGCTTGTTCCTTTCACGAAGGATGGTGCCGCGTGCGGGCCGCTGGGCGTTCCCCTTACAGCGGTCCCGCTTCGGCCAGAGAGGGCCATCCTTCCAGCGTCGGCCGCTGGTAGGCGATAGTTCGCATCCAAGAGCCTGCAGAGGTCACCAGGACTGCTGAGTGACAGAGGCTCGCAATGGTTGATTGATTGATCCTCCTCCTCCTCATCCTCCTCCTCCTCCTCCTCCTCCTCCTCCTCCTCCTCCCTCCAAGCCTCGTCACAAATCAAGCAGAAGGCTTCTGAATTCGGTGCGATTGTGGGGTCAGCGCCACTCCAATGCTGACGGGCTCCTGTTGACTCGGACGCGGTGTTGTCCAAAAGCCGACCCCACCCTCTCAGCATTGAAGAACGCGCTTTCCGACGAGTTCCCGAAAGAGCATCGTGCTCCAGGAGTTCATTTTTATGTCTGGATATGTTGACGAGGCTTGTCGAAAGGAATACTCAGCGAACACGCGTAACACATTCATCGGTCAACGTCTCCCCCTCCCCCTCTGATGTTCAAAGTTGGCGGTGGGTCCGATGATGTGCACTTCGCCCGCGGTCTCCCCCGCGCGTGCAAACTTCGATTGGGGGGGGGGGTGGGGGAGTGTCCACTAGAGGTTTCCCCTTCCCATATTGCCGCCGACCTGTCAGCGAGATGCATCGCCGATTCCAGCTCGATGTCACCCCCCCGGGCCAGTATCCCCCTTCACGTTCCCTCTCAACTCATAGAGGGCCTCCAGCTTCCCAAGGTGCGAGGCGTTCCAGACAGGGCATCGCCCTCGAGGGGATACATCGGATCCTTGAAGGGAGGCGCCGGGAGGCGCCGGCCACGTGAGCTGATCCGCTGACTGACCTCTCTCTTCCTCAATCTGTTTTTTTTTGCCACGCCCTTCCCGACCGCCCAGGGCCACGTTCAGTATACAATAACCACGCCCCAGGGAGGGAAGTTGTATACCAGACCCACGACCAGGACCCGCGCTCGCCCCCGGGGCTTTTCGGTATGCTGTGCAAACATTTCGGGCGGATCTCTGCTGTCTCCCCCGAAGTTTACGTTGCATCTTCGGGGGACCTCGCCTGTCCCCCACATTGGTGTCTTGTCCTGTGCCCGACGCGGGCTCGATGCGGACTCGACGCGGATTCTGCGCGGACCCGACGCGGATCCGACACGGATCCGACATGGGATCCGACACGGATCCGACGCGGATGGGGCCGCGACGAAACGGACGAGGTCCCCCTGAGGATGCAGCATAGCGTGGTCGGCCGACATCCGGGCAGGAGAACCAGCGGCGGCTCGCCGCGGAGATCCTGCGGGGGCGCGCGGCCCTGTTCACCTGCTTCCTGGTCCTGCTGGGGCTCCCGGGGAGGGGAAGATTCCGCGAACGGCAGGCGCGCACCGTGCCGCGTGGGCATCTCTCGAGGCGTCGTCGATCTGCGACCCAGGAGCGGTACGCGCTGTTCACTTCTTCTTCTAAGTATTCGAGAGTTCTTTGATTTTTTTGGGGGGCCAAAAGTCCTCTCAGTTCTAAGTGTTCTATCCCGGGCCTCTTCCTGGCCACTAGGGGGCCAGGAACAATTAGAAACGAGCACAATTGGAAATGACCGACGTGTACAGTGCAGAGTTGCTCGGCCCCCAGAGCTGACAGCTGTGCACCGTACCGCGTTGGAGTGGGGCCCGAGTGGAGTCCAGACATGGTGCGGTGCAAGGGCACCGCTCTCGGAAGCTAACCACAGCATACAGCGGGCACATGCGGTAAGAAATCGGCCTGCCAGCTGGTGGCCCACGGGGATTCTGCATCCCCTGATGGCCACAGGGACCGACCGAAGCTCCGGGGCCCCCAAGGACGGTCAGAGATCGACGAGGAAGGCGCCCCAAGATTTCATGCGGGAGGATGCCCTTCCGAATGCTTGTAAAGCAATCACAAACTTTGGGAGGTCCGCGAGGATTTCTTAGATCTGCGCTAGACCCCTTGCGGCGCCTTCGGCGCGGCCCCTGGCGCGCTCCGCGCGCCAGGGAGGGGGGCCCAGCGCCGACAGATTCACGCTTGTACTGTCTTGTCTTATGTGTAGGCTCGCCCTCTTCGTCTTCACGTGCGTGATCTACTGCCTCGGCTACAGGGTCTACTTCGACTCTGGGAGCAAGCCGTGCGACGAGCCGCTTGGCGCGTGGCTCTTGGTGGTCATCCTGGCGTTCCCTGTGCGCGTGTGCCTGACGATTGTTTACAGGTCGCCTTCTCCAGCGCCTCCCTCGCCTCCCCCCTCTCCTCCTGCTGTCCCCGCTCCTGGCGTTCATGATGGTCGCGTGCCTTCTGATCTCGCGATTGCTGGCAGGTCGCTACGGATCCGGGCGGCCGACGAGGAGGTCCACACGCCGCTGACGAAGGGAATACACGGTATCCCGTCGCGCCGCCGCGCACACCCCGTCGCCGTTCCCGGGGAAGGTGCCAAGCGGTGCTGCGGCGCGGCGCGGCTGCAGCGCTGCAAGCCTCGTTGCGGCGATGCCCCTCGGAGCCTCTCCGTGGCCTCTCGGGGGGCCTTCTGTGACCACCTACCGAACCACCCCCACCCACCCCGAAGGCGCCGTTGGGCTTGTCAACTTCCAGCGGGGGGGGGGCATTCCAGATGGGGCCTTCGGTTTGGGCCGGGGTGGTTGAGTAAGTAAGTGGCGATTTTGGTACCTCTTCGGAGCCTCCTCGGGACCTCTCAGGGGTGCGCGCTTGGAGCCTCGTCGGTGCCTTTTCTGGGGCCTCTGGGGGGCCTGCTCGGGGCTTGGGCCGGGCGTGGTCTGTGGCCCGTGCGCCCCAGAAGGCGACGCGCGCTTCTCCTGCGGCGCGCGGAGGAGATGCGCTCGAACGAGGCCGAGGCTCGGTCGGGGAAGCGTAAGACTCGGGTTCGCTGGAGCACGCGGGCTGATCGACGCTTTGTGCCGGGCCCGTCTTGGATCTGGACGGCCCAGTGTGCGCGGGATGTCTGCGGCGGGAGCTCGCGCCACTTTGCAGCTTGGGTCGTCGTGATCTGCCCGACGGCCCCGTGGGGCCAGCCTGAGGCCAGCCGCGGAGGCCGGGTGCCCGGAGTCCGTGCCTCCTGCGGGGAAGGCAGAGCAGCGCGGGTGGTGGCCGAGCGGCGCAAGAGGACGGGCAGAGGAGGGCACAATGGCAGCACCTACATGACAGGACCTCATGCCATGAATGAGTCAGCGAGTGAGAGGAGGGCAGGCGCAGCAGCAGGGAGGCGCGGTACCACCAGGGTCGGGCACACGTTTCAAGTCGGTGGCGCAGAGGGTCCTCAAGTGCGGGCCGCAGATGGAAGTGCCAGTTGCGATCGAGCATCGTCGGAAGTAAAGTGCACGAAGCATCGCACACTGAAGAGTGCAACAGCGGGCGGTCAGGAAAAGGTGCCGAAAGTCCGTACGAAACGTGCAGCGGCCAGAAAACCGAGGAGGCGACTCAACTCATAGCAGACTGAAGCGAAAGCAGTCTGGTGCGAATTGGTGGCCACTGAATCACCGAGCACGGCGTTAGACAATGAAGCAGGGTCGAGCACACGCACATTATTTTTTGTGGGACAGGGTCCCCGTATTATTTTTTGTGGGACAGGGTCCCCGTGACCTCAGAGGGGCAGCTGAAGTCGCCGATGTCGCCGGCGAAGCCCGCGCGCGGCCTGTCCAAAGTCTACGAAGGCACTGTGCCACATTCCCCGACGGAGGGGACAGCAATTCAGCGACTTCTACGACAGAGGCCGCAACGGGTTTGACTCAATGAGGTGAGCCGTGCTATGCCTTTTGCAATACCGAGGAAGCGATGTGAACTTGTATCGCAATGGGGGTAATAACGCCCCGTAGTTCAAGGGAGCGAAGCATCGCAGCATTATCGAGGGATCTCATCATCACAACATCAGTAGTCAACCTCTCCTTCTCTCTCTCTCTCTCGCACGCGCCGACAGCGGCACCGACAACCACACACCTTTGTCCTCCAGCGGCCGGGTGACACAACTGCAGCGTGTACTAAGGCGGGGCGCGCTTCGCTCAATTACCACCTGTCGGTGCAGATGGGCAGCCAGGACGAAGCCCGACAAAAAAACTAAACACAGGCTCCCCGTCCTGACACTGACGACGACTTGATCGGCGTGCGCATGGTTGCGCATGCCCTACGTGCGCAGTTTGAGACGTTTGTCGTCCTTTCGGCACGGCTATTCGGGAGGGGCCTGCGATGTGCAGCACAACCGCGCCAGCAGGCACACACGTGTTCCTTTGTAGGAGCGGCCGGTATGACAGGGCGTCGCACAGCGATCTGAGGCGCGCTCCGAACCGAGCCAGTTTTCATATGATATCAAGCACGGATGGATCACTGCGACGCGGGCACTGGCCTTGGCTGCAGTAGCCCGACGCTGCACGTGTCAACAGCATCAGTGTCCAGCACCCGCTGCAGCCAGGGGCAACGTCAGGGCGGGATATTTCTCGGGGGGGGGACGGGCCGACCCCACAGCGCCCACTGGTAGCCGACAGGGGCCCGAGAGCCCACCCGGCCCAAGACCGCTCGGCGCCGCCGTCGGGGGCCTTGTCGCCGATCTGTCGGAGACACGCCGCCAACTCGAGGTCGATGCCTCCCCCCCTCATCCTCCTCCTCCTCCTCCTCCTCCTCCTCCTCCTCCTCCTCCTCCTCCTCCTCCTCCTCCTCCTCCCCCTCCTGAGATGCTCCGCCTCGAACGCTCCCACCGCTCCGCCGCGCGACTGCGACGCGAGCGCCACCGCGTTGGGTGCAGCAGCCCGACCAAGGAGCCCGTGCAGAGTGTCCATAGCACCCGCCGCAGCGGCGCAGGATCGCGCCCGAGGCGGGAGCTGCTCCGTGACCGCCGCCTTGGAGGAGAGGGACCCGCGGAGGCCTCGGCGGGCGGCGGAGGCCTCGACACGTCCGGCCCCGTCGGGGGCCCGGAGGTCCACCGCCCGCCACGTCCCCGGCGATCGCTCCCCCGGGCGACGGTCGTGGGCAAGAGTGCCGCCCCCCTACGCTTATCGAGAAACCCAGGGTGCCCATACCCCGTACCTCTACCCTTCCCCCGGTTTCGCTCTTCTGTGGGCCTCCTCGGAGGCCCTCGTCGCAACCGCTGGCCTCGCTTCCGGAACCGGACTCGCACCAGGGGCGCGCCTGCGCTCCGGCCTCAGCAGAGCCCCGGCGGGGCCAGAGATGTCCACATCCGCTGCCCGCCGAGGTCCCCGACGACGGATCCCCGTGGGCGGTCGGTCATGGACAGCTCCGCGCCTCGCTCCGTGGGCGCGAAATTGGGACCGTCACAGGGCGCGGTGGCGGGGCCAAATACATCCATATGCACCGCCTGCCGAGGTCGCGAAGATGGGTCCCCCAGGCGATGGTCATGGACAAATCCCCGCGTCGCTCCAATCGCACTGGCCGCGACAGGGCGCGGTGGCGGGGTCTAATATATCCATATCGACCGCCTGCCAATGTCCCCGAAGATCGATCCCCTAGGCGGCGGTCATGGGCAAGGATCCGGCTCGCAACTCGTCGCCATGTCCTCCTACTCCTCCATGTCGTCCTCCTCTTCTTTGATCATGATTATTATTATCATTGTCACTGGCTTTGTCATCCCTATCATTATTAGTATGAACCGTCTTCTTCTTCTCATTCGTAGTTTTCTTCTTCCTCTTCTTGATTTCCAGTTTACGTGATGATTCAGGGAGCCCAGTCGGGACACGTGCCGATGTTAACGTTGTGCACTTGTCGCGTTGTTATCCGTCGTTGGTTCTTCATGAGCACCGCTGTTCACTGGGACAATATCCTCGCCTCGCAACGTGGGTGCGCGCGCACTGGACCCGTCAGGGTTCGGTGGCGGATCCTGTATTTTTGGCACTTGCTCGGCAGCCCCCTGCTCCTCACGGTGGGGTACTACTGGCTGACGAAGGCGAAGACGTGCCACAAGACGAACCCCGACCTTTATGGTTTCGCCAAGGTCTCCTCGGGAAGATCTGGAGAGGCAGAAGTGGGAAGGTGAAGAGAAAGGAAGAAAAGAAGAGGAGGAGAGGCGGAGGAGGGAATGGACGAGGAAGAGGAGGAGGAGGAGAGTAGGCGACAGGGAAAGGAGGAGAAGTAGGACGACGAGAGGCGAGGAGGAGGAGGAGGACAGGAATAGGAGCAGGAAGAGCAGGAGCAGGACCTTCAATATACCTCAAGCAACGCAGTGGAATCACGTTAGAACACCCTCATCGTCCCTATATGTTGTGCATGTCGGCGCACTTCTGCACGCCCTGCTTCTGTGGCCATCATGCCTGGAGCGGATCGGATGCCACGGCCGCGGAAGGGAAGGGGATGGACGAGGGAGGAGGGAGGATGGAGGCAGGGAGCGCGACATCAAGAGCAAGGAAAGTGGGGAAGGTTGGAGTGAGGACGGGGTCAGAAAGGAGGAGGGAGAGAGGAGCGGGGGATATGGGGGGAGGGCGGGATGGAGGACCGAGAAGGGGACAAGAGGCAAGGGAGGAGGGTTTTGGGTGGCCGTCATTCTTTCTTCATATTTGGAAGGCGTTCTACGGGCCTTGACATTTTGGCTCAAGGGATGAGGGTTCTATGACTACGTCCAAGCCGCATTTCCCCTTCTTTTACGCTCGCCTCACGTTTACAAGTCGTTTCAATTGTCTTTCTCGTTTTGTTTTCTGGATACCCGATTGGGACATCCGATTGCAAGTGGAAACATTTCGGCAGTGAGCAATCATAGTGTCAGTAACAGTTCGCCAGCAAACATCGCGAATTCAATGTTTGGTTCCTTCCTGGGCTATGTCAGGGCGTGGGGATTCGTCAGCGATAGGTACTCGGACGGGCACTTTGGCAGCAGGTCTGGCACAGCGTGATGACGATTGTACGGCTCCGCTTGACGACAGACTGGATGTAATTCTGTCTCTACGGATATGCCAGCACCTACTTCGCGATGTGGACGCAGGAAGACCAACGCGTCCATTAGCAGCACTCCTTGCTAAGGTCACAGCGTCCATCAGCATTGTTCTCACGGACAAGTTGCAGATTTTAAGAAGATGCTCGTTGCGATTTGGGGACAACATAGTACCTATGCATGATACGCTGGCGGGCATGACTGTTCGGCAGCACGAGGCGATCCAGCGTTTGCGGCGCGAATTTGATGAAGCAAGACTGCACAGCATAGTGGCCCGGGGGAAGTTGGATGAAACCCGGCGCTGGATCGAGGGACACTTCGAGGCGCGGCGCTTGGGGCTGCTGGACAAGATTAACCCTGAGCCTTCGGAGGAGGCGAACGACACTTCGGACGAGAGGGGCATCCATAGCGAGAGCGGCTTCGACTCTGGGGTAGATGCTGGGGACGACGCCCCGCTTCCAGCCAGATCGACGAGATGGCTCCTACTCCTATTATGAGTTTCCTCACTCGCTGTGATGCACGGCGCGTCCGGGCTGCGTCAAAGACGCATGCCGGAAACGTGTTTCAAGCGATATTGTCCCATGCAACCGAGTAGCACGATTCATCTGCCAAGTGCATTTGTTGCCCCTTTCTCCTCGGCGAATGTCGCACTGCATGTGTGAATTGTGCTTACCGTTTGAGCACATGCCATCCTGTCAGCAACCAAAGTGTGACGATTCTCGGCCGGCTGCGAGGTATGCCAGATATTTCTCTGATTGCACCACCCTCGTCAAAAGAAGCAGGGACGAGACAACTGATGCCACGGTCGATCAGCAATGAGTTGGCACCAGTTGTGCTATCGAGTGGTCTTGTTTTGAACCGAAGTGTTCAAAATTGGTAGTTCGTTTCGTGCTTCATGATGCACTGTTGCTGTCTCGACGTGGTCTGCCTGCTGTAGAGGCTGACGCGTTGACTCGGCATCACTCTTCGTTCAGCATACGATCAGGGACCCGATGCAGGCGCCCTGTGCGCAAAAAAGGGGACGATGTGCGAGCAGGAGGGGGAGAAGGAGGGTTATGAGAGAGACGATGGCGTAGACAGGGCGATTGAAAAAAGGAGGGCGTCCCAACGTTTGTCTCTTAAGGGATTCTCCGACTGCATATCCTACCCTTCCCTCGCTTCCACCCTGTTTCACAATTTTGTTGTTGCTTGATGATACTGCTGCTGCACTTCATCCATGCACCTCGTGCGTCTCTCCCCTCGTTTCGTCCGCCTGGGTCCTCTTCGCCTGTATGTGTTCCACCTCCGCTTTTTTTCTCCCCGACTCCCCCCCCCCTTTGCCTGCTGTCGCTCATCTGATTCCTCCCCCACTTCCTCTCTCCTCCTCGTCCCTTCTCTTCTTTCTCTCTCCCCCTCATCTTCTTGTGTAATTTCTGCGATGTGCCCCTCATCGTTTCTCTCTCTCCTTTCCCTTCCTTCTTCTCTGGGAGGAAGAATACATGTTCACCTGCGTGGCCCCCCAAAAACGATTTCTAGCAATATAGGTGGTGCAACCCACGTGGCGCAATCTATACTGTACAATCCGTGCGTTTCGATGCAACGCAATGCAACGCTGCGCGCTACAATGCAAAACATTGCAAAGCAATGCGCACAAGGCCAAGCAGTACAGCGCAAAGCGATGCGAAGCACTGCCAAGCACTGCAACGCAGCGCAGCGCCATGCAGGGCAGTGCAGCGCAGCGCAAGGCACTGCGGCACAGTGCAGCACAGTGCACAGCAACGCGACACGGTTGCAATGCGCGGCGGCGATGGGCGGCCACGAACCTGCCGCACCGCCCCTGGAGGAGGAGGAGGAGGAGGAGGAGGAGGAGGAGGAGGAGGAGGAGGAGGAGGAGGAGGAGGAGGCGGAGGAGGAGGAGGAGGAGGAGGAGGAGGGCCCCACTTTGCCAGCGCGGACGGGCGGCCACGTGCCGCCCCGACCGCTCCGCTGCCGGCCGCGACGGCGGCGGCGACGGGGGCGGCGGTGGGCGGCCACCTGCCGCCGCCCGGATCTCCAGGTGCACAAACGCTGTCCGGGGAAATCGGTGGCACGCCACCGTTGGGAGCCCATCGGCGCGTTGCTCCTTCGGTGTGTGCAGGGGCACGGCGTGTCTTCGACAGTGGCACGCTGATGGGTTCCTCGCGGCGGCGTGTCGTTGATGTTGTTTACTGCTTGGGCCTCCCACTACTCACGATCTCCTCCTCATCCTCCTCTCGCCGTCGCCCCCCCCCTCTGTGGTCTTCTTCGTCTACCAGCTGGTCATGTGGGTCGGCGGCGTCTTCGTCTCGTGCGGCGCCACGACCCTGGTCCTGTGGCTCATGGCGCACGGGGCGTTCGACGACGGCCCTGGCCGAGCCAGAGCAGCGGAGCCTGGCAACAACGGCCGAAGAACAAACAACTGCATCAACATAAACTCTCGGAGCTCCGCAGGAATTTCTCGGATCTGCGCGGTGACCCCTCTGGCGGCGCCTCCAGCGCCGCCCATGGCGCGCCCCGCGCGCCAGGAAGGGGGGTCCAACGCAGATCCAAGACATCTGCGCAGACCTCCGACAGTTTATGCTTATGCCGCTTGCTCTTGCTGTAACCGCAGAGGGTCTTTAATGATGCACCCCCCCTAAGCTCTCGGCGGGGAATAGAAACTCGCCCCTCCTCATCCTCCTTCCCCTCCCTTGTCATCTCAGGCCTTGTCGTCTCAGGCCTCCGCGGTGCATGTTCCAGAGCGCGCAGCAGCGGTGGCGGTGGTGTGTCGGAGAGGAGGAGGAGGAGGAGGAGGAGGAGGAGGAGGAGGAGGAGGAGGCCGCCAGGCGTTGAGCGATGGGATTTCTGAGCACTTCTCATGACCTCTCATGCATCCGCCGACGAGAATAAACAAGTGGCACGTGTGTGCCCAGGCTCATACAACAAGCTGAAGGGGCGTTTGAAGCAGGAGTGACATGCAACAGCGAAGTCGCACTCGAGCGCAAGTGGGGTTGCCACACCTTGCGATGTGTGTACCAGGGCCCCCCAGGAAGCCTCAGGAGGCCCGACTTGGATACCAGAAGAGGCTCCAGGAGGCCCCAGGATTGTGAGTGTGTGTGTGTGTGTGATGTGTGCTTTGTGTGGTGCGTGCTTTTTGTGTGTTGTCGGTGTGTGTGTGTGTGTATGTTATGTTTGTCTAGCGTGTGATGTGTTGGGCGTGATTTGTGTCTCTGTGTGTGCATGTAGTTCTGAAGCCCCAGGAGGCCCCAGGAGGCCCCAGGCGGCCTCAGCAGGCCCAGGAGAACTCCAGGAGGCTCCGAGGCGGGGTCTGGGGTACCAGAAGGTCCAGAAAGCCCCAGGAGGCCCCAGGAGGTTCCAGGAGGCCCCCAGGAGGCTCCGAGGAGGGGTCTGGGGCTCGATTTTGGGAGGATGTCTCAGGCGAAACCGCCATTCTCTGAGAATCGGGGTCAAAATTATTGAAATTACCATGTGTTTTTGAAGGTTTGATGTTAAAATGTTGAAATTCCAATGTGTTTTTGGACCTCTCCTTCACGATCTGCGTGAGGGGTGCCACCGATTTTCAGAATTTCGAGGATGTCCCGAGCGAAACGGCCAGAAAAATCAAAGACGGACGCACGCACGGACGTATTAATCCCCTCTGAGCTCTACTCCCTCGGAGAGGTGCGTATGATAATAAATTCCAATTATTGTCGGGGTCCCAATCCGTCAATAAGCCGGCGGACAAAGTATTAATTTTCTCATTATTGCCCGGGGGTTGATTAAAGACCTTTTGGAGTTATCCTCTTCCTCCACCTCCAGCGGGTCGAGCGTCTGGCAGCTGGGCACCAGGACGGCCAGGGGGGCAGGGGTCCAACAAAACATATGTCGCCGCGCCGTTTGTTCCGATGCGCGGCCTTACGTTTTGGGGAGGGCGCCGCGGCCACCAGGGCAAACGCCGCCCCAGGCGCGGGGCTTGCCGTGGGGTTTGCCGCGGTGCCGGCTTCGTCTACTTGGGGCGCGGGGCGCAGGGCTTGCCATGGGTTTTGCCGTGGTGCTGGCGTCGTCAGCGTGGGCGCGTCGAA